GCCTTTTGCTCAAAAAGAAGGGACTGCAAAAGTGGCGTATTTGAAGAGGAAGGTGCAATTTGAAAAAGACCATGAAACACCGATGTTAGGTTCAAACAATGACGTATATAATGGACTAAAACAGATACATTAGGTTCTAGAAGAGATAAAATTTGATGGTATAGGTAGAAGAAAAACCTAAGTGAGAAAGTGAAAATAATTAGCATAGTTTTACAATATATTAGGTGTTATGCACTGAATTGTACCTCCCTAGTCCAATTGACATGTAGAAGCCCTAACTGCCAAGTACCTATATTTGGAGATGGGACCTTTAAGGAGATAAGTTAAATGAGATCAAAATGCTGAGGCTAATCTAATAGGATTTCTGTCCTTAGGAGCAGGGGAGATACCAGAACTGTCTTACTCTTACACAAAGGAAAGGCCATGTAAAGACAGGGAGGGATGGTGGTTGTTTGCAAGACAAGAAGAGAGGCTTCACCAGGAATCAGCTCTGGAAGCACCTTGATCTTGGACTTCCAGACTCCACAACTGCGAGAAAATGAATTTCCATTATCTGAGCCCCTCAGTCTACGGTATTTTGTTATGGTAGCCTGTGCAGACCCATACGACAGGAAAACACTGCCGTTTTTCCTTTCTAACAAAATAGTGCAGTTTTGCAGCTTGAGTAGCACAGGTGTTATGAAAATAACTTCACATTGCCTACCAGAGAATGCATTCTTTTTGAACCACATACACGTCCCTTTACTCTGCGGCCCCACCTAACTCTCTAATCCATCTCCTGTCCTTTCACTACCTTCACAGTAAGGAACTACCGACAGATGTTAATTTTACAATACCATGTCTCTCCTCTGTTCTGAACTCCTTTCCCCAAATTATGTACCTGGAAAATGCCAACCCACCTTCAGCATCCCAGGTAGAGGTTACCTCTTGCTTTGTGCGCATTCCTCAACCCCCCGTAAACAGAGCCATCACACAGTCTTTGGCACTAATTACATCTGTGTTTTCAGAGCATTTAGCACTTACATGGCAGACTGTCCCAATTATAATTTCGCTTATATGTTTTCCCCAACAGATTGGCAGTTTTTAATAACAAGCTTAATGATGGAATTGATTCTCTTTACTGAGTTGTAGAGGAACTCAATGAAAATTTTACTCAAACTAATAGAGAACATTTTTAGGACAGTATACAAATTTCAATAGTTTTAATACTCTCATTTTAGAAATGCCACCAAGAGAGAGGGAAAGAAATCCAGATTAAGTTTATTGAACACTTAGAAGAGTGGATTTTTTTTCATTTCATTAATGATGTTTTCTTTAGTATTATCGAACTAGCCTTCATCAGAGTATAGGAAGACCAAGGAGATTCTTATGCTTGAAAATGCCAATATTAAAAATAAACACTCAAGAAGTATTTCTGACTGAAAGTAAATCTCAAGAACACTTGAAGATGTGTGAGCAGAGGGATGTGCTGAAGAAACATTGAATCAGGAGCAGGGGAATTTGATTTCTAGTTCCTCATCTGCCATTCATTACTATCCTTTGGCCAATACTCACACATATACACACACAAACACATACACACACATTAACACATACATACACTGGCTATAAAATGAGGGCTTTTATAACAACTATGTTTTTCCTAGTTTAAACATTTTTCAAGGTGTTCATCTGTTCTTCATTAGGGTGATCAATGTTTTAAAAGTTATTCTGTAATATAGCACTACAGAATTTATTTAACGTAATTTAAACTTTATTGTTTTAAATAGAGAATTGGGATTTTGATGTATGAAGCTGAAAATAATCAATACTACTCACAGTGCCTAGTTCCAGCCCTGCCTGGCAATAGACTTTCACTGACGTAATCACCAGCTCATGCAAAAATATGTTTTAGGACCTACAGTGTGATGGGCATCTACATTCACTTAAAGAATCTACATTAAAGTAAGAAATTGGTCCAGTCATAGGCAATTACATGATTATTTAAAATTGTTAAGTGCCCTCTGATTTAGAAATTGCCATTCTTTAATATGATGGTTTGCAAGTGTTTAAATATCAGTGTAAAAGATTAAAATTTAAAAGCACAATGTCAAAATTCCCAGTGCTTGTATTGCTATGAAAGGTGATCAAATATACATATTTGATGAATTTTATATATTATATATATAATTCAAAGGTATTTAACCCAAATTTTACTGCTTTATTAATAGCAAATATTTAATAAATGATATATAGAAATAAAAATTAATGAAACAGCACACAAGTCACATTGACCAGCTTAAAACCTGTTATGCTCCCTTGAAGCTACTTGGTGATAAATACTACACAATTCTTGATGCATTTTTATAGAGAGCACTGCACATGTGCCACCCCGTCTTAGGGCTGCACTTGGAACCAAAGTCTTGCCCCTCCCTGTGGGGACCAAAGGTTTGGGACAGGACTGGAACTTGAACACTGAAACCCTTTCAGAAGCAAAGGATCCATCATCCCACAAGATCAGGTGCTGAAGCCCCTCACCATAAATCGTCAGGTTCCAGGATCTTCCAATTAAAACTTGCCCCACCCGCGATTCAACATACCTGTTCTCCCTAACTTCTTAAAACCCTCTGATTGTAGGCCATTGAGGAGTTCAGGTTTTGAGCAATAGTTTCTTGTTCTCCCTGTGTGTCACCTAGCAATAAAGCAATTCTCATTTCTCTACCACAATGCTGGGTGTTCAGTGTTTGGCGCTGCGGTGTACCAGAAGGGACAAACTCTCTGTTCTGTTACATTCAGAAAGCTTTTTGAAAAGGAATGATGGTAGGCTACCTTTGGTTTGTATGAGAATTAGTAGTTTCTTGTCAATACAACTCTATTTTGTTAATTTCAGTTTTGTAAGTCTATAAACACTAGTAACATACTAATATGAAAATACAACATATTTTAGAAATACTATAAAGTAATTTTCATTCTGAGGCAGGTTTTCTTTGGCATTAATCAGGTTTTGGCGTTTTCTGATTTATATTTTCAAATATTTATAAAAAATAACTACACTGCATTGAATGCTACCTGTGACAATGTAGACCTGAGAAATTACACAGAGAGGCACAGCCAAGGCAGTATGCTAGAACAGTTTAGGGCAGAGTTCCTCAAACTGGGGTTTATGTACATATTCTCTGGAACCTACAAATCCTTATATTTTAGAAATATTGAACATGGGCTTCATCCATTTCCTGTTTTCATTACTAGAAGGTACATGGAGCTCACCAAGGAGAACATTTGTTAGGTCTGCTTTCATTTCTCCACTTAGTTAGCTCCTGTATCCTCTGTTTGCTCCCCTAATTCCTTGTTTAGGTCCTGGATCAGACCTAATTAATCATTTAATTTGTACCAATTCTCGTTAATTGCCCAGTCCATGAAACATTGAATCTCACTCATACTTTTATTGAAATGTGTCCCTCCGTATCAAAGTCCCCATATTGGATCCCCCATGTTCTGTTTTTTCACATTAACCTGATGCCATTTTCTGAGTTTGGTAAAAGGATTACATGTTCAAGATAATACATTAATGTGAGTAATATGTGGTATAAAACAAGGTGCAATTAAGAAGAACCCTGGAGTATGAGATGAGGAACAAAATACTACTCCTTTGCCTCTGATCTCTATAGATCTTGGTCATGTCACTTCGTATCTTTAAGCCACAATTTCTTCCTCTGTAATGATAATCCCATATTCTCTTCTGGTTTGCTATGATAAATGCAGTAACACATATGGAAATGCAGTAGAACTGTCATGATATCAATATGGGATATTCTTTTAAATTATTTATGAAGTCTTTGGTTGAGGCCATAGAATCTTGGATTTACCTAGAAGCAAAACTGTCTAACTTGATAACCTGCACTGCACCTGAACCTTGGTCTCCGCATGCATAAAGGGGATAATCCTGCCTCATAGAATTATTTTAAGCACTGCAGAGACAATATAAATAATTCTTAGTCCAATGTCTGCCTAGCCCTAGTAAATACTCAAAAAATAGTAGTAATTTCAAAGGATCACTGGGGTTTGCACTGTGTATTGTCATTATTATTTTAATCTACTATAATTAGATTAATATAAACTGTGAAATTATAATGACTGATGAATTTAAAATACGAAAACAGAGCCCTGATCCAAATTCCTATTTAAGTTATTAACTTTAACACAAGACAAGTACCTTCAAGAACATACTGTTAGGGATATTAATGTAAAGTAACCTAATATGTTTCTTCTTTTTACATATCTTATAGATGTAGAGGAAGGAAAAACCAGAGGTGATACCTTAGTTCACATCTCCTTTCATTAACTGATAAGCAAGGATCAGAGCTAAGAAAGCTTGTTGTTGCTACAGGGAAAGAGATTTTTCTTCTCTCTCATTTCAACCTAGAGATTTGTGGCTGAGAAAATGACTATATAAGCAATTAAAACATTGCTTAGGAACCACAAGGAAACATGGAAACTCTTCCCAGAGTATATTGTGTATGCTGGTTGGAAGTATCAGCATTGCTCACTTTAGCTCCACATCCATATTTCATTAGTTAAGGTGGAGGGAAGCACCCCAGAGAATTAATACTGAAGGTACCCCAGAAATTACTAAAAGTTGCATTTACAGTCTTCCTGATCTGTGCTTCCAACTTATTTTTAAGAAAAGGAAAAATGTTTGTCTACAATATATTTGTTCTAGCATATGTCCATTAACATTTTCTCATGAAATAAGTTTCCTTGAGGGACTCAGACAATCAGACATTATGTTCCAGCTTAGTAGAAATCAAAATTAATATGAGACAAATATAACTTGCCTCCTGGCCTTGATTTGCAAGTTCATCATCTTGAACCAAGGTAAACAATAAGAAAAAGTATGAAGATGCCAGTGAACTGAAGGAAATCAGTGAGCTTGGGTTGGCCTCAGTCTCCATTGCATTTGAACAAACCCCTTTCCTTCTTAGCCTGCTTGGACCCACAGTGCTTTTCATTTCCTTACTTACCAAGGGCTTGGTTTCATCTTCATCTTTGAAATAATAGAGCTGATCTCCCTTGAGCACAAACCAGCGGGTATGCCAAGTCTTGACAAAGCCTCCTTGCTTTCTCAGCCACCCACACTTCGTGGCATTACTCCGCCCTAGGCCTTGTTGGGGGTTCTCTGTGGAGTCATTGTTCTCCTCCATTATCAAGCTGATGGACTTTCCTATTTAGCAAACAAACAAACAAACAAACAAGAAAGAAAGAATAAGGTGCTGTAAATATTCAATTCCCCCTTAAATCATCCCTGTTTCTTAAAAAAATACAGAATGAAGAGTGAAAAATATGTATCAACTCACTTGCCAATTTTCTAGAAGTAAACCACAGACCTGACAACATTGCTCCTGGAGAAAACTTGAAGAGAGTTCATTGTGTCTTCCTTAAATGAGCTAGCCAGCTGGGTAATAATATCCCTTTTTTACTAAGTAGAACTAAAGATGGGAAAGTTCTAGAGGTAATGTGTTAAGAAGCAATTTTTTTAAACTAAAACAACCAACAAAACACAATTTTCATGATAATGGGCCTCTGTGTTTGGTGTGCACTGACTGGGGCCAGTTTGCACAGGCCTGTGATTATCTGGGCAAACACAAGCCTGACACATGTTAAAGTTTAAAAGGACTATTTTAAAAACCTCAATGGAAGACATTTGTTTTTCATATGTGAAATTTTCTCAGGATGTATCTGGCCCCTTCCCCCTCCCCCACAGCATATCCCCCTGAGTGTTTCTTTGGCTGGTCAAGGAATTAGTGCAGCTGAAAAAGTTTAGGGAAAAATAAATTTTTTAAGAACCCAGCTTAGCCAGTTGAATTCCCTTCAAATGTCAGGACTGAGTGGTACGCTCCAGTCAAATACACGGTGGAGAATATTACAAGATTATGTGTGAAGGAGCATAAGACCATATACACTATACATAATAAGGAAATGAGTTTATCATGAAGAAAAAAATTAATCAACAGGTGAGAAGCCAAACTATCCCAGTAAGAATGGGGGAGGTAGCTTTCTGGGAGAGCCAGGGATAAGTGGTTAAGAATACCAGATATTTTCCTGTCCCAAAGGCTTTCTACAAATTCATGCTAATATTTATTTCCAAGCATGTTTTCAGGAAGTAAAAAGTCCACTCTTACCCTGTGTCTTTGATGTGGATACAAGGATACAGACTAAGTAATAAGACATAGAATATTCCTGTTCTGGTATATCCATGTACAAAACTCCTACTTTTCTATTTGATTCCCTGCCCCCCGCCCCACTCCCTGCCCAAAAGCCATCTTTCTCTCTGGTCCTTATTTCCACCATTCATTTTTCAATTGATGTGTATGTATACAATCCTAGTTATAAATTCCATGAAACTGTCAGCCCTTAGTTACTTAAGTTTCTTCTTTGAAGGTACAGGGTCAGACCTTCCATTATTGACCTTTTAATTTTTTTGACTTTTGTCCTGCCCTCCAGTTGCAGAGATGAAGCAGAACTCTGACTCCAATTATTCAGGTTTTGATAATCTCTACCATCTTCTCAGCTGTTTTTTTTTTTACTCTTCCATTGGCATACATTCCAATCTATCTCTATCCCTGCTTTTATCGCCTTCCCTCTAAACTACTTTTAAGCTTCAAATAGACCACTGGACCACCACCTGTCTCATTCAATATTCACTTTTTCCTTTGTAGAACTAAACATCTTTCTCATTAACAGGTCCTCATCTTTGTAAAGCATCTCGAAGCTCCCTTTGCTACTGAAGGCATCCCCATGACGGAAACAATGGATTGCAGGAAACGCTTTCCCACCCAGTGTGCCTGTGTGTGCGGACTGGACCCTGCCCCTTGCTCCAAGTTTGCTTTGCCCTTAGGGCAGGAACTGTCATCTCTTCTCTTTTACGATACTTGACCTAGTAAAAAGAGCCAAGTAAACCTAACTCTAAAAGAACAGTAAATGCTCTAACATAATTTAGATAATAATAATACTTATTTAGACCACTCTAAATAATTTTAGGTTCCTGGTATTTAAATTGTTCAAATCTACACAAGCTGTTATTTCATCAGCACGTTTTATTCTTTGACCGATCACCTTAACTTACAAAGTTGAACTTATAAAAGTCTTCCTTAAAACAAACATTCCAACCACATGCACGAAATCTTTCTTTTGAGCCATTCTTTTCCTTTTTTTTCTTTCCTCTTATAATTCATGCTTTCTATAATATTAAGTTTGAAAAATCGCCTCTAAAATTCTTCAAGGTAATTAGCAACCTACCATCAATAATATAAAAAATACAAGTGCCCAATTTTGGTTTTGTCTACAATTAATGCCTTAGTAAAAACTGTGTGCACACTAGAACATTGTTTATAATTCTTCTTATATAAGTTGTTTACAAGTCTGGTGAAACAAATGACAGCATCTCCCACTGAACTCCTGGCTATAATGCCTATGTTTTCATAACTCCGGAATGCTTCGGCAAGTATTTTAATAGTAGTAATTGTAAGAATTCATTAAGACAGAAATGAAAACAGATTGTCTCATATCTCCAAGAGAAAATAATACCACAACTATTGCTGGATGAGTAAACCTGTTTACCTAAAATAACCATGATTTTTATAGCGGAGTCTTGCTCTTTCTGCAGAAATTAAATAGCTCAAATTCTATCCTTCATCTGTAAAATAATGACACTGGCCTGGGTCATTTCTAACTATGATCCCTTATCATACTAAATCTACCATCTCTCTAATTCCATACACATAAGGACACCGGATATCCTCAGCACTTCGTACCATGACTGGCATATGGTGAAGCACAATCAATGTTTTATGAATTAATAAATATTGCAAAAGATTGGGTGCTAGATACCTAAAAGTGAACATGATCTCCCTCTGAAATCTGATCCTGCCCAAAACCTGATCTTAGTAAATGGCACCATGATACACACAGGTGGGGAAAAAAAAGGGATCGTCTGTGAGTCCTGACTCCGCCTCACCCTGAGTATCAAATCCATCTGTAAATTCAGAAATATTTTCAAATCCACACAGTTGGCTCCATCTTCATTGCCACCCTATGATCCAAGCCATGATTAATTTTGACTAAATGATTCCCATAGCCCCCCAACTAGTCTGATTTCTTCCATTTTTAACCACAAATGCAAAGATATTGGCACATGTTCCCATGTATTTTATTCTCCATAAAGCAGCCAAAGGGAACTTTTAAAAATTTAAATCAGATAATGATTCTCCAGCCTTAAAATTTTTATGGGCAGGCTCTCATTATGCTCATTTTAAAACCTAGAGCCCTACCATGGCCTATAAATCAGGAGTCATCTGGCACCTGTGTATTGACCTAACCTCCTAAACTCATGCCTCCTACCCCTCTTTCCTCCCAGTCCAACACACACACACACACACACACACACACACACACACACACAAAGAAGCGCTGCCACAAGCAATCACACCAGCTTACTTTCACTTCTGGAAACACCCAAGTCCTTTATGCATTGATTATTGACTTGCTGGTCTCTGCCTAGGCTGCTCTGCCAGATGCTCTCTGAATGGCCAACGCTTCCTCATCCTTTAAGTCACAGCTTAAAACTACCTGCTCCCAACAAGGCTTTACTAACCACCCAGGGAGTTAATAACCCTCTTGATAGTCTTTGTCACTGAACTCGGTCCTCTGTCGTCCTAACACTTCTTTAAATTACTATTTCTTTAGCGGTTTATGGCTGATCACCCCTCCAGGAGGTCATAAGTTTCACGAGACCAAGGACTTGCTTTTCCTCCCAGCAGTTTTACCCAATCCCTCTAAAAGTGCTCACTTGGCTTTCAGTAAACAATGTTAAATCAGTGAATGAAGCTATGTAACAACCACAATAGAATTCATAGAGAGTATTTTAAGAGTTTTTACATTGTATTTAATGCCTTAAAAAAGACTGTATACTTTAAGAGCTTGAATTTCTTTTTCCTTTGACATAGGAGACTTCAATCAGCATGAAAATTTATTCTTAAACACAATGTCAAAATCATAAAACTCAAATGAACTTGAAACAGTCCTTTAGGAAGAAATATAACATTAAAAATTTACACTTTTTAGCCTTGCAGGAAATACATGTAATCAATTATAGTTAAGAATAAAGAAAAGTATAGTTTACTCATTAAAATTCTCAGAGAATAATTTAACTGAATCTTCACTGGGAAAATCTTTCACTGAGGTCACATCACGGTAGCTGGATGATGCACAAGGTTATACAGTAGAACTATAACTAAGGTGTTTCGCAAACTCAACATAATGATGACAATATAACAATAACATAAATTGTTACTATAAACTAATAAAAACAGAATTGAAAAGTTAGGTTTTGTCTTCATATCAGTTTTATGAAAAAGTGTTAATGAAGGCTACTGTACCGTAGTTAAAGTTAGAACGTTGCCATCATTAGATGGGCTTATAACTTTGAATTACTTTCGAGGTGTGAAACTGATTTGTACATTTCCTTGTATGGTTCATTTTTGCAACCAGATGGCCTAGGAACACAACAATATTACATGGTGCAATCTGAGATGAAATTCATGCTCCTAACAGAATTCCTAAAAGTCAAACAGCCACACATACAGGTATTTATATTTGTGACTTCAACAAAGAATACATAAACATGCATATAATCAAAGATGTATAAAAATAGAATGCCATATGTCATGGAGTCGCAGTGTGTTTGAATTTACCTACCCAACTACATATGTTTAGCAAACACAAGAGACTGACAAAGAAGGAGAGAGCTAGAAAGTCAGAGAAAAACAAATACCATATGATTTCACTTATATGTGGAATCTAAAGAACTAAATAAACAAATAAACAAAATTAAAACATATTTACAGACAAAAAGTATACTGTTGGTTACCAGAGGGCAGGGTCCTTGAGGGACTGGGTGATAACAGTAAAGGGATTAAGAAGTACAAATTGGTAGTTACAAAATCGTCGTGGGGATGTAAAGTACATTGTAGGGAATATAGTGAACAATATTGTAACAACTATGTAGGGTGCCAGTTGTGGTTCTGGAAGCCTTGAGGGAAGAACCAGGTTAAAAGGATAAGCAATTTCACCACAACGCCTCCGTTACACTCGTGCTCCCGTAAGTCGGAGGTGCCTTTTTGCAGTCGGGGTACGTTCCCTGGACCTCTGCAGGCTATCGTGCTGTGAAAATGTGACCCAAGTTTCAGAGTTCACATGATTTCACATCTCATGGCCCTTCAACTCAAACTATTCCAGTTGTTCAGTGAAAGAACTGTGATCTGTTCTATTGCTTCAGGAGAAAACAAAAATAAAACTGGCAGATGTGATCAAATAATGCAGTTTGTGAGAGATTTATGTAACTTTCAAGAATAATTTTGTTCACATCCAATTGTTACATTTTGTGTTGACATTAGAAACTAAGTCCTTTTTAAAATGAATGTGAATGCGCTGTTCAGGAAAGCCAATACTTACCCAAATTCTAACCCTTTTTCAAAAAAACAGTAACGACTTTGTTTTGTAGCTGTTGCTAACATGCTGGTTTGTCAAGCAGTAGTACATTTTATTGTACTGTATGTGTAAATGCTAGCATATAGCCTTTCTGAGGGTAATGGTTCACAAAACAAAAACATAAACAAGGAATGATATAATGTATATGTGTGTGCACATGTTTGTACATATGTCCATGCATGTGTGTATATGCATGTTTGTATGTGTGTGTATTGGGTATGAGTGTATATGCATTGTGTGTGTTTTCTCCCTAGGGAAGAAAATTCTTAAGGCAAAATATTTGTTGAGATTCTTTTCTCATTGCTCAAATACACTAAGTTCCATGACACTGGAAGACATGATAGTATATCCCTCCATTTCTGACATTCTTTGATGAAACAAAGAACATAAAAGAGCTTTGCCATTCAAAGTCACTGACCAACCTGACTGTGGTACATGGTAGTCAATCTATGAAATAATAGATTTATTTTTATTATTTTCCAGAACCTTTCTTCCATAACTACAATTGTTTACTTAATTTGTAACTTAATATGCTAAATATTTAAATAATTTCAGGCTTGATCTCTCTCTTTCTCTCTCCACCCTGCTCCCTTTCCTCTAGCAGGCACCAAGGAAAGGCTATGAGAGCACACAGTGAGGAGGCAGCCCCCTGCACACCAAGGAAGGAGCCGCACCAGAACCTGACCCTGCTGGCACCTTAATCTCAGACTTCCAGCCTCCAGAGCTGTAAGAAAATAAATGTCTGTTGTTTAAGCCACCTAGTCGGTGGTATTTTGTTATGGCACCAGAACAGATTAAGGCGATGTACATTTACCAAGAAAAACATACAAGAAAAAATGTAAAGAATTAAATCTTAGTAGCTTGTTGTAACTGCTAACTAAAGAAAACTGATGAGTGAAAAACAGTTTACTTTCTACCCCTTACTCGACCACACATCTCTTTATTTAAAGAATGAATCACATTGTGGTGCCTACAAGGGAATGAGCACTCTAGGTCTGATACTGCCGAGAATCTAGTGAAAATTGTTTGAGCTGCAAGATAAATCCCAGGAGCGTAAATCTGTTTTCAGGAAGCAACTGAATTTCTTACAGTACCTTGAAAGAGCTTTGGCTTTGCACACACAGTTGTTCTCACTGCCAGGAGTTCATGGCTAATATGTTTTTTTGTTAAAGGTACATTCCTTTCTTCTTTATTATTTTATTTTTAATTACAGTTTATATTCAATATTTGTATTAGTTCCAGATGTACAGCATAGTGCTTAGATAATCATGTACTTTACAAAGTATTCCCCCTGATATTTCAAGTATCCACCTGCCACTATACATAATTATTACAATATTATTAACTACATTCCCTATGCTGTACTTTTCATCCCTGTGACAATTTTGTGACTATGAATTTGTACCTCTTAGTCCCTTTGCCTTTGTCATCTGGTCCTCCAATTCCATTCCCCTCTGGCTACCATCAGTCTGTTGTGTGTATATATGCCTCTGTTTCAATTTTGTTTGTTCTGCTTTTGAAATTCCACATATAAGTAAAATCATATGGTATTTGTCTTCCTCTGACTGACTTATTTCCTTTAGCTTAATACCTTCTAGGTTCATCCATGCTGTTGCAAAAGGTAAGATTTCATTCTTATTTACGGGTGAGTAGTATTTCATTGTATACATGTACCACAGCTTTTTATTCCTCCTTCAGCTCTTACACAAAGGCCTCCCAAGTGCCCCTGCCATCGCTAATCTGAACGTTCCTCTCTATGAGCCCACATATCACTCTGGACATAATCTTTATCACCTGTGGGCCATATACTTATTGCTTTACAGTTTTTTATATCATAACTCATTAAATATAAGTGCTCCCTGGACAACCCCAGACTAATTAGCATATGCTGAATATTCAACGCTTAGTTGAATAAATTTAAATGAATAAAGAGATTTGTAAATACATCAGTCGGTCTTCAGGCCCTACTAGAATTGAACCCAGGGGCGCCAAGGCTCCCCAGAGTACAGTGCAAAAATCTTAAACATTTTATTATTAGATACCAGTGCAAGGAATTCAGTCCACATTCTCCCACCTAAATCTAATCCTTTATTGTTAGCAATTTAAAGCTAAACTGCACTTCAGAAACTACTGAGCAAAGAAAACTCATAATTTGAGTTAAAAGTAAAGAAACATTTTTTTCCTAAAACTGAGGAGTTTAAATGTGAAGAAAACAGGAGTTGAATAAATTACAGCAGTCATGAACATAAAGTCTGAAGTAGTCACCAGAAGAGCATACCTGGGGGAACTTTAACAATAATAACTTTGTAAGTGTGTGGTTATTTTCCTGAGGAAACACTAAATACCTTGTTGCTTGATTCATTTAGAATTAAATTGTCCAAAACATCAGAGGATAGACAATAATAGAAAATGATGTATATGTTGGAATGAACCAGGAATGTCATCCTACATTTTATATTTTAAGCCTCAATATTTTTATATTCATTTAGTAAGAAATAAAAAGTACTTAATACTGTAGGATGAATCATTTAAAAGAAAATTTCTTTGCATTTACTTTGTTTTTGTCATATGTTTAATGCCACATACTTTGTAGAGGGAATCTTCTCTCTTTTAAGGAGTCTTTAATTCAATAAGGAGAAAAGTATTCTGATATATACTTAATTATGCTCCCCACCACCACATTACTATCGAGGGATGGGTGAAAAAGAACCATTGGAATTCTCAGCATGGATCACCTGAGTAGAAACAAGAATCCAATCAAAATAAATACTTTGCTATTGATGGGATTAAGAGAGAAATGACAGACACCTGGTAAGTACACTGCTGCTCTTCAAGCTTGTGTCAGGCCTTATTAATTAATCACAATGCTCCCCCTGCAGAACCTGCATGTATTGTTAGATGTCTTCCGAATACAGCTCTCTGAACAGTCCCAACCCACCCACAATATAGGAGAAGAAGAAGGAGACTCTTTCTTGTTTCAATTCCATGAACAAACCAAGAACTAACATAAAATAGAACCTCAGGTACTCCCCATGAGAGAATGTCATTTGAAATGGGAAGAGACAGCTTCCTCCCTCCTTCCCTTCTTTCAATTGAGGTAAAATTGACATAACATTACATTAGTTTCAGGTGTATAGTGTATGATTCTATATTTGTATGTACAGTTATTTACCACTTAACAACAAAGCTACAAACTGAAAAATGCACTGCTAAGGATTTTTTTCTCTGTATAAACATTATAATGTACACTTACACAAACCTAGATGGTATAGCCTACTACACACCCTGGCCACATGGTACACTCTTACTTCTAGGCTACAAACCTATATAGCACATTACTGTACAAAGCAACATAAGATGAAATCAAGCACAAGAGAAAATGATGCAATCAAGAGACATGGTGGACATAAGGTGTGTTAGGCTACTGCCAGTGTCTAACACAGCATACTGTTTCATAGCAAACTTTCTAAGTGGAAAGAGCACACTCCAAAATAACTATAATGGTGAGTACGTATGCCAATAACATATTTGTTTATTATCATTGTCAAGTATTATGTATGGTACATAACTGTGCTGTATTTTTATTTGACAGGCATCACAGTAGGTATATGCACAGTGGCATTGCTGCAAACACACACTGTGCTATGCTACAATTTTAAGATGACTATACCATCACTAGGCAACAGTAATTTTTCATCTCTATTATAATCTTAGGGGATCACCATTCACTGTATCTATCCTTGACTGAAATGCCATGATATGGTATACAACTGTATTACAAAGTGATCACAGCAAGTCCAGTTAACATCTGTGATCATATACAGGTACAATTTTTTTCCTAGCGATAAGAACCATTGAGATCCACTTTCCTAGCTACTTTCAAACATACAATTCAGTATTATTACCTATAGTAACCATGCTGTACATTACATAAAAATATGGAATGCTTCATGAACTTGCTTGTCATCCTTGCCATGGGGCCATGCTAGTCTTCTGCATATTGTTTCCATACACAAGCACAAAAGTCACCTTTTTTTAAGATAAGAACTAATAGCTTGCTGAAAACTCGAGGATGGCAATTGTCATTGCATCACATGACCACAAACAAAACAGGTTTGAAGCAGGAAAGAGGAAATAGAAGTTGGATATCCCTTATTTTATATTAATTCGACCAATCTATTAGTTGACCCTTAAAAATAGAATCAGAGAAGTGTCTGTTCAGGTTTTTGTGAGGGCCTATAGACATGAAAAAATGTTCAACTTCATTAATCATCAGAGAGATGCAAATTAAAACCTCAATAAAATAGCACCTGACACCTGTCAGAATGGTTACCATCAATAAACCAACAAACAACAAGTGCTGGCGAGGATGTGGAGAAAAGGGAACCCCAGTGCACTGTTGGTGGGAATGTGGTCTGGTGCAGCCACTATGAAAACAATAAGGTGTATCCTTAAATAATTAAACATGGAATTCCCTTTTGATCCAGTGATTCCACTTCTAGGAATATACCCCAAGAAGGCCAAACCACCCATACAAAGAAACAGCCCTGACTGGTGGAACACCAGTTTCCAGGAACAAGTGGAAATGCTGAGGAAGACAGGCGCGTGCCAGGGGAGCCTCCTGTCACAAAAGGAAACAACCCACTGGGCCTGTGACAGGGTTTCTCCATCTCTGTCCCCTCATGGTCACATTTTTAAGCTCAGATGAAAGCTTGTCTGAAATACTACTTTTAATATCAGATTCCATTAGTGAGTCCAGCCCCGCAAAATCAGATATGTTATCCATTACATTGTCATTTCAAAGCTAAAGGGCCAGCTTTCTATTCAACCATACTTCAAAGAAAATAATTTACTAGTAGGTAACTTTGGCTGAGATAGTCATTTGTCTACAATAAACTCTCAGGTATTCTCCTTCAAATGCAAACCGGAAGGTCCTTAATGATTTTCAGTAAGGACCGCTTCTTTGTCAGTTAATCCTGTGGGTCGAATATCATCAGCCTTACTTTATAACCTCCGGAAAATTACTAGGCACTCCAAGTATATAATAAATCTTGTCCTAATCACTGAACCACAGTTGTTCTCCCACTGGTTTATTATACTGAGGTACTGACCATACAATTTTTTCATTAGAATTTGAGGAAAGTGGGGAGATATCAAAGGGAAAAAAGTCTGACTGTGATTCCACTTTATTTTACATCATTCACATTATTATGGACTTTGCTGTATTAAACTTTGATCTTTGAGGAGGTACTATTACTCTCATAATTTGAACATATTATAGTTCTTCAATATATCTAATTCACCCTTCAGTTTTAGATAAACTGAACAGAAACCTACTTTACTGCCCTTGAATGTATTTAATCGGCAGTACCACAGAAGATAAGGATACTATACCTAAAAAAACCACTTTTGGAAAATAGGAAGCTTGGTGGGACACATGATTTTTGGAATATGCAGAAGCCTATCTTTTGGGTCCCCTCTCTCCTTCATGCCATGTTGTTTCTGTTGGTAGCACTATCACACCGCCAGAATGTGGGTCTCTGCTTGATCCCGCAGAGGTCCTGAGCTCCCTAGCAATAGTGACCAGCCCAGGGAGTGGACATGCGACTGAATCAGTACCAAGTGGGGTCCTTTCCAGCAATCATGTCCCCTGCCCTGCAGAGGAAAGCTGTCTGCAAAATGAGGCCCATGAGAGACAAGCAGATATAAGCGGAGAATGGCAAGAGCCCTGGAATATCCATCCTAGTTCTAGTTCCTGAAGCCCTGGCCTTTGGGTACCATCCTTTGATCCTAAAAGATATGTCTTACTGTTCCCAGCAAAGTGAACAAAAAAAAATTCCTGTTTGCTTAATCTCAGTTGAGTTACTTGCTGCCCTAAAATGTCGTTATTAATACCAAGGAAGAACACTTAAAATATTTGTACAAAAATTTTCTTTAATATTCCAGGTTTATAAAACAGAGAGCTCCCTCCACTTTGCATCAAATGCAAAAAATCAATTCAAGATGAATATTAAACCTAAGTTTAAAAACTAAAACTTCTAGAAGAAAACATAGGAAAACAAATTTACAAACTGAGGGAAAAAATGATTTTTTTAAAAAGCATACAGAAAGTAATAACTATAAAAATTTATAAATTAGATTTTACTGAAAGTAAAAGCCTGCTCATCAAATCATTAAAAAATGAATAGAGAAGCCCAACACTGTAAAATATTTGCAAAACATATATCTGCCAAAAGACTAACATCCATAATATACAAAGGATTCCTACAATTCAATAATAAAAGCACAAAAGAAACAATTTAGAATATAGGAAAAAAATTACCAAATTTTGCCATGATTAATGAGCACTTTCTTACCCAAATTTTTGAGGGAAAAAACAAGGATGCACATTATAGATGGGTAGTACCTGAAATACCTTGTATCTGTTCTTGTGTTTTATAATTATTTGTCACATAAAATTTCTTGTACTATGATATGTTAAAAAATAAATGCTAAAATTCCTTCATAATACAACAAAACAAGTATGCCAATATAAATTAATTAATTAATTAATTAATTAAAAAAATTAAACTGAAAGGTTTCTTTCTTGAAAGTTTGGGCCAAAAATGTGGGTGCACATTATAGATATTTCACAAAGGAAGATATACCAATGACCAACAATCTCATGAGAAAGTTCTAGCATAATTATATATCAGAGAAATGTCTGTTAAGATCTAAGGAGATGCCCTAACATAAACACTTGAATTATTAAAATTAAAAACTGACTGGTAACACCAAATGTTGGTGAAATATGGAGCAACCAGAGTTTTCATACATTGCTGTTGAGAGTATGTTATAACCAATTTGGCAAACTGTTTGGCAATATCTTATAAAGTTAAACATACTTCTACCTATGACTTAGCAATTCCAACCTTAGATGTACAAGCAAAAAAAAAAATGGAGCCCAGATGTTCAGAAAATATTTGTACCAAAATGTTCATAGTAGTTTTATTCATATTAGCCCCAACTAAAACTAACCCAAACAATGCCCACCAACAAGTGAGTAGATAAACAAATCAGGGCAAAACTGTACAGTGAAATACTCTTTGGTCAATAACAAGAATCAAATTATGCATAACAACATGGATGAAATCCACAGCTATTATAATGAGTAAAAGAAGCCAGATATATGAATATTCATTTTATGATTCCATTGATATGAAGTTCTAGAATAGGCCAAACAATTCTATGGTTAGAGAAGTCATAAAAATGTCCACCTCTCAGGGGAAGGATATTGACAGTGAAGGGACAAACAGGACTTTCTAAGGTTATGGGAAAGCCTATTTTTTAATGATTTTATTTATTTTTTTTTTAGAGAGAAGGGAAGTGAGGGAGAAAGGGAGAGAAACAACTAAGTTTGCAAGAAACATCGATTGGTGGCCCTTCACACACCCACAACCAGGGACCTGGCCTACAACCCAGGCATGTGCCCTGAGTGGGAATCAAACCAGTGACCTTTCAATTTGCAGGCCAGCACTCAATCAACTGAGCCACACCAGCCAGGGCAGCCTTGTATCTTGAAAGGACATTAGTTACATGAGTATAGACATATATCTCACTAACAGTGCATTTGAGATTTGTATGCAAATTATGTTCTAACAACTTGTATTCCTCCCATCAAAAAAACTGAAAAATACTGAATTCTATTTAATAGGTTTGCTTTTTACTGTGGTATGGGTTAACAAATATGAAATTAAGCCTTTGGGTATTCCAAGTTGAGCAAATAAATATATAGGTTGAACATAATGGGAAGCCAGATTTCTCACTATTGGAAAATGAAATTATAAATACGGAAATAGGAAGATGACAATGTATCCTGTTGTTTGAGACTGGAATTAGAAATGTCAGTATGAAATTACTGCATACAACATGGTGATTTGATTTACACATACATAGTGAAATGATGACTACAGTCAAGCTAATATATCACCTTCTCACATAATCACCATTTTTGCGTGTGTATATCACCTGAAATCTACTCTCTTAGCAAATTCCCAATATTCAATAAAGTGTTAGTAACTCTAGTCATCAAGCTGTATATTAGATTGCTAGAATTATTTATCCTACCTAACTACAATGTTATACATTTTGACCAACATTACATGGTTTTTAATAGGTAGATATATAGATACAGAAATATGTATAGACACACATTTACTAATGCTATTAACTAAGAGGGTCTAGAAGTAACGAGACACCATTAGCAATGAATAAATACACCCTAGTGTCCAAATATTGACTTCTGAATGCCACATACTTTGCAATGGAAGCATGACTACTTGGATAAAAGATTGATTCCAGGGCTTGGTCAGGAAAAGTATAAGATAGTCCTAAAATAATATGTTCCAGAAAGTCAGGAAACACTCAAGAATGGTGTGGAAATATCAAAAGGATGCAGAAGGTAGTTTAAAGTGATTGTCACTGGACAAATATGTGATAATTTGAGAATCTGAATAAATAATAACAGTATAGATCATAACTACAGAATAAAACATAATACTACATCACTTCTGTTGATATAATAGATAAAGAAGCAATTTAACTAATGGAAAGCATGAGAAAGCTCTTCCTTTCATAGAATGTCAACTAGTAAATATATAGAAGCAATAGCACAGTTAAAAATTATTAATGGCTATAAAAACAAGTGATAAAATTTTGGTGAGGAAAAGATATTTACATAATCTCCAAGTATCTCACTACAAATCAGTCATAATTTGGAAGAAGTAAAGTAGTAACTATATTGTGGAGAAACCTGGCGGATCCAATGAAATCCAAGTTTACATCATGAGTGTTGGAACAAGCTATCGGTGTGCGTCTCCTGATGTGATGTTCTGAGGATACACTATCTATCACTTCTGTGGTAGTCCTGCCAAAAATGCAAAACCTGAACCCAATCATGAGTAAGCACTACACAAATCCCAACTCAGGAACATTCTACAAAATAACTGGTCTGTATTCTTCAAAAATCTTGAGATCAAAAGACCAAAAAAAAATA